TCAAAATATCGATTTTTCCACCTACGTTCAGAGATGTTCCGTGTCCCGATTCGCTATATGACTTGGGTTATTTCTAAAACCACTTGGCTTAGGTGCAGTTTTTCATTCTGAATCGAATGGTACCAGTTTCGATGGGGGTTGTCGGTCAAAAATACCCCTCTTCCCTCAAAATACTGGTTTTTTCGGGTAAATTTCGAGGTATTCCCTGTCCGGATTCGCAATATTAGTTGAGTTATTTCTAAAATCACTTGGGTTACGTGCAGAATTTAATTCTGCGTCGAATGATGCCATTTCCAATAGAGGTCATCAGTCAAAAAGTACCATTTGTAGCTCGAATACTGATTTTTCATGCGTTTTGGTGGTATTCACTGTCCGGATTCACTATAAGACTTGGGTTGTTTCTAGCATTACTTGGGTTAGATGCAGAATTTCATTCTGAATCGAATGGTACCATTTTCAATATGGGTCATCGGTCAGAAAGTGCGAATTACACATCAAATACTGATTTTTTCCTATGGTTTTCAATGTATTCACAGTCCGAATTCACTATATAACTTGGGTTATTTCTGAAATCAGTTCGGTTAGATGCAAAATGTAATGCTGCATCTAACCCAAGCGATCTCAGAAATTGCCCAAGTACTATAGTGAATCAGGACAGGGAGTACCTCCAAACCCCATGGAAAACCAGTATTACAGGTACAAATGGTACTTTTTGACCGATGACTCCCATTGAAAATGGCACCATTCGACGCAGAATTAAATTCTGCACCTAACCCAAGTGGTTTTAGAAATAACCCAAGTAATATAGTGAATCCGGAGAGGAAATACCTTGCCAATTACCTGGAAAAATCAGTGTTTTGAGGGAAATGGGCATTTTTGGCCGACAACTCCCCTCGAAACTGGTACCATTCGATTCAGAATGAAAAACTGCACCAAATCCAAGTAATTTTTCGAAATAGCCCAAGTAATATAGCGAATCCGGACAGGAAATACCTCGAAATCTACCCGAAAAAACTAGTACTTTGAGAAAAGGGGTATTTTCAGCCGACAAGCCCCCTTGAAACTGGTATAATTCGACGCAGAATTAAATTCTGCACGTAACCCAAGTGGTTTTAGAAATAACTCAACTAATATAGCGAATCCGGGCAGGGAATATCTCGAAATCTATCCTGAAAAACCAGTATTTTCATGGAAAGGGGGTATTTTTGGCCGACAACCCCCATCGAAACTGGTACCATTCGATTCAGAATGAAAAACTGCACCTAAGCCAAGTGGTTTTAGAAATAACCCAAGTCATATAGCGAATCGGGACACGGAACACCTCTGAACGTAGGTGGAAAAATCGATATTTTGAGGGAAAGGGGCCATTTTTGCCCGATGACTCCCCTCGAAAGTGGCATCATTCGATTCAGAATTAAATTCTGCACCTAACCCAAGTGGTTTTAGGAATAACCCAAGTCGTATAGCGAATCCGGACAGGAAACACCGAATATGGTGCTAACTTTTCCGACGTACTTTATAAAAAGAAATTTAGAAAAATTGAATATTACTAAAAAAAATAATTTTTAAAAGTTTTTATTTGAAAGAAAATTAAAAAAATGTCAAAGTTGTATGTATTTGATGACGACATATAAATTTATCTTAGATTAAAACGTCATGTTTAGTTCATCTGATCTATACAAGCTTCGCAATCGTAGGTACATATATTCGAATCTTCTGTTCTGCAAAACTATTCGATAGGTATTAAGGGCTTGGGAAACATCCGATGGCTATCGATGGCTCGCAAAAAATGAGATACAGGAAGCAAAAAGTTTATGAAAATTTGTTAAAATTGCGAGCGCTCGGAATAGCGACCACTCGAAGCCCCACGAATTTGATCCGTCGAAATCCATCGAAGATGGGTGCGTCGAGGCCATCGAATTTCTAGATCGACTCTTCGGATTGCCACTTTCTGATAGGTCGAGGGATCTGCGATGGGTGAACAATCTTCACTTTTATCAACCCATCGGAAGCCTCAGATCGATATATCGAAATACCCATCGAGTGACAGCTTGGGACACTATATATCAATAGTTTGCTACCAATGTGGTTTAGTCACCCACCCTCATCTCACCTATACCCACACCCATCGCCAGTCTCACCCGCTCTCTTTGATGCATATGCCTTCTCTTTACATTTTTCGCGGAAAGTCGATGTATGTGGACAAAGGACACTTGAATAGTTGCTTTTATTTGCGTAGAAAACGAATCAATAAGAAAATGGAGAATGGCGCAGTTGGTTGACTGTCAGCAGTGGGTTTCTTCCACTTTCAAGATAAATAACGCAAAGTCAATATTCAGGTGAAGTGAGGGTGTGGGTGTGGTTGTGGGTGTGGGGTGTGGGTGCGGGTGTGGGTGTGGGTGTGGGTGTGGGTGTGGGTGTGAGGCAAGGGGGAAACAACTGACTTTATGACTTAAATGTTCTGAATGATCTACGTGATCTAAATGACTTTAAAGTCATAAAAGTCAGTTATTTCCCTCTTGAATTCTACTCATGCTGACTGTGGCTGTCGAGTTTCCATTAGGCTAATGAAATAGGGAAATAATTTTCCATGGTCTAGCTACTATTGGTATTCATAAACACGAAAATTCTCAATGCTTAAAATCGAAATTGCAACGAAATTCAGTCCATTATGATACGCATGATATTTTCGAAATTCAAAAAATCGTCGTCATGACGATCAGCGAGTATGAAAAATAATCAGACATTATTGCTTTTTCTGGTTCTAATTCGTTTATTTACTCTAAATGCGTGTTATTCTTACAGAATTATGTATATTCAAAGAAACTCTATGAAAAACTTATATATTCTACAGAAACTGAATGGGATGAATATGATTGACATACAAGGAATCATATTCAAGTACTGGACACTGTTCGGTCTTACATCTTAGCTATGGGGAAACTCAGTGAGCCTAAGAAAGTCCTAATAAGATTCGCAACCGTAATCTATGCACCAAGAGTTATGATTGTTTTACTGAGATTCTGGTGTATTCGTTGAAATATTGAATTGCAAAAATTGAGGTCTGAAATTCTTATCTAACAATGAAACCTTTTGTATTGGTTATCAAAAAGATTGACCATATTCGGGTCAAATGAAAGCTCTCACCATCAAGCTACCAAGTTTAAAATATTCCGTGTCCATAGCGTACCTAAAGCAAGTTACTTAAATTTCACGGTGTGTAGAATTTAGGTATAAAAATGAATCAGGAAAGATTTTCTCTATTATTGTCAGGACAAAACATAGTGTTGTTCGGGCCATATGAAAGAGAATCCCTTCAAACCTCTAATCGGTCTGAACAACACTATGTTTTGTCCTAACAAAAATGGGGAAAATCTTTCTTGATTCATTTTTATACCTAAATGCTACACACCTTGAAATTTAAGTAACTTGCTCTAGGTACGCTATGGGCACGTAATATTTTAAAGGACGAGGGCGGATAAGGCTTTTTTTTTTGCCCCCAACAAAATCAGCTTTTTCTTATCGATTTGAAGTAAGACATGACTCCAGATGATATTCCATAGGTTTTTCTTCGTATAGCTCATCAAAAGGTTTTTGGGACCTGTGGTCTCCCACAGAGATCTCTGAAAAACTTTTTATTTTTGATTTCGTTTAAACACATATTTATTGATAGTCAAGTGTGCTGATTACGAATATCAATATATTAAGTGCTGAAAACATTTTAGTAACGAAAATATCAGCCCTTTTTGAGATGCTTGTTTGGCTTTATATCTAGGTTTTTGGCTCTTCATCTTCGTCATTCATTATTCTAATCTTGTGGAAAAACATTCATAATAGCTAAAACAACGTGATCTTGTCGAGTATGAGCTATGAAAGCTTCTTCAGAGCATCACCGGCTACAAAACCTAGGATTACCGGTCAAAAACCTGCTTTTGTGGAACTGACGTATATTTTCGAAGAAAATAGTGAGTGTAAGTCTTAAGTTCGAGGTTAGGCGGCTCCCCTCCTCCCCATTACAGACACTTATCAACGGAAGCCCCCATTACAGACACTTA